GGAAAACAGTACAGCGGGGTGTTGCTGTCACATGACGAGCTTTTGAGGCTGAGCTAATAGGATGCCCTTTTAAAACGTTCTCCATCTTTTCTGGTTTAGAGGCAGGGGATATCATCATGGAGATTTCATCAAAAGAAAATACTCAGTTTTTCTCAAACAACACAATCCTGCCTGTTGATCGATCTTCGTTCAAATCTGAATCTTCTGCATCCAAGGAAAAACAGTCATGTTGTGGAGGTATAAAGGTAGAGTAAGAGTTTTTGAATATTCCAGTAGGGACTTAGAAAACCTCTTCTTTTTTTTTTTTTTTTTTCGGTGAATTGTCCTTTTTTCACTTTTTTTTTTTCCTTTTTCAGCTCTGATTATGTCTTGCTGAGTCAGTATGAAATTATTCAAGATATTTCTACATGACAAAAAAAGTCTGCGTCAGATCTGTATTTGCCTAACGTTTGGCAATGTTCAAACATAACATGTTGGTTGAGGCTTGCATGTTATGAGATCTTCAAGGGTCATCCTGAAAGGTCACTATATCTTCCTTATTGCACCACCTTATTTTCCTGAAGTTGAGAACAGAGTATCGGCAGACAGGTACCACAGGCAGCTGTTAGTACAGATTCCTTTTTTTAAGATCGTAGCCATGGTAGTCTTCTGGGCTCTGAAAAATAATAGTTGTATTATGATCCACGTGTCTGGAGGGCTATATAATTAAAGTGTTGTTTTAATATTCCTGATTTGAGAGAACTCTGCATGAGATGACTTTGAAACAGAACTGCAGAAGCATCGCCGCTGTATCTGCATTCATCTCACCCATGAGAGGTACTTTCTCAAGGCAAGGGAAGCTGCCTGCTTTAAGCCTCGTAACGTAGCTGTACCTGACGGTAGGACCACTGCACCTTGGAGGAGCGTTCCTCCCAGTATGGCACACCGGGGTACAGGAGGCTGCATGACGCTTTGTCTGCTGTCTCTACCTGCTTTCCAAAGCCAAGGCTGTAAAATGCTGACACTCTCTTTGGTGAGGTCTCAGTAAATCACCGTAAAACAAACGGTGAGATGAGATGATTTGAGTTATACAGAAAATGAGTCTTTGGCCTTGTCCAGTTCTTTTCATCTTGCACAGTCTTTATTTCTGCTGGTTTTTTTCACTCACACACACGTGCATCTACTTTCAGATATTAATCCATCTCCCAATACAGTCAATGACTTCAGCAATAGCTGACCTGAAGTCTATAAATTATACAAACCAGTTAAGATATTGCGGGATCAATTGTCTGATGACTACTATAAAAATATTTTGATTCCTGAATATTCTCCTCGATTTCTTCTGATCCGGTAAAGGCCCATAAATGGGGTCCTGTTTTGAAATAGAAGATGAGTTGTATTAATTAAATTTGTAGCATAATAGTAATTCTATCATTGTTCCTCCATTTGCTGCAACAATAATCCGATTCCCTTATTGAATAAACCTTCAGTCACAGATTAGTCAGTCAGGAATCAGCTTATTAGCTCCAAAAATAGAAAAGCAATAATATTTCAGCTCAGTGTCTTTCTGTTAAAAAATTTTGGTCTTCTGGAAACCCAAACAAATATGATTAACTTATTCCAGCAGGGACTTAGAAAAACCTCTTTTTTTGGTGAACTAACCCTTTTTCAGCTCTGATTATGTCTTGCTGAGTCAGTATGAAATTATTCAAGATATTTCTAAGTCACCAAAATGTCTGCTTCAGATCTGTATTTGCCTAACGTTACCAAAACAATACACAGATTCAGCAAGTGGTTTTTACCAATTATCAGCCTTCCCACATGTTAAAAATGCCTTTATTAACCAGAAGGATGTGGTGAAATATTTACTTACTGTCATTGACAAACCAGAGAAGTATGTGAAATCATGTGCACCTTTCTGTCCCAGCTCTGAATCGGGAGTGGTTTCCCACTGCTGCACGCAGTCTCCATCTTCCTCCCGGGACAGCTGCAAACCCAGCAGAAAGATTTGTGCCAAAGAGAGACAGAGGTGTTTGAAGTCATAGTTTGACCTATACTATTTCTCTGTGAAAAAAACGATTTGCTTTCACATTGCTATTTAAAACCCAAGGGGATAAACACACAGAAAATGTAAAATATTATGGCAATATTTTTACTAGAGAGCTCTTTGAGAGCCCTCACTGTGGGAAACAAGAACCAGACACTGTTTATTTACCCACAAGTGTTTCTGAAGGAGGAATAGCCAGCACTGCATCAAGTAGTATGTTGAATGTGACACAGAGATATATTTGAACCTTAACATAAGAATTTGCATTCAGCAGTGATGCCAGTGTTATTACCAACGTGCCTTGTCAAATGAGATGCTGTAAGGAGTATTGCACTGGAGGTGAGTACATCGCTTCAGAGCACCCGCTTACTGGAAGCGATTGCTCAGAGAGCAGGCCTGCGGAGTAGTAGGACAAGTGTCTAGACCTTTCTTTACATGCAACTTTACTTTTAATTTCTGGTTTAGGGTTCAGGTTTTGGGGTTTTTTTTAAGACCTTTTACAAAGAGCATCCCTATGTATTCAGTCAGCACAACCTGTATCTGAAGGTAGAAAGCAATGCTATGGTTTCCATGACCGATTGTGCAGTGTATGAGTATCCATGGAGCTTGTAAACTCAGTAAAGCTGGGTTCAGAGAAGGCAAATTTAGGCAATAGCTCTGCAGGAGTGAAACAGTTGGTGCTAAGGACCCTGCGCTGCCACTGTACGCATTTCAGGGTGGGGGGGTTACTTCAGAGGAGCTCTCGTCTTGTCCCAGAGACTGAAGAGCCATGAGCTGTTGAAGTGAACGTAGTGTCCTTCTGCAGCACATCTGCCAGTTTAATTTTGTGTAAAAGAGATTCAGTCTACATGTTTGCAGAATGTACCAAAGCGCAGCGAAGAGGGTGGGAGTCTCATTTCCAAAGCCCACTCCTGATTGAGACTAACACACTGAAACAAATGCAGTGACAACTAAGAGAAAATAACTGCCTCTGCAAAACAAAAGGTTGTCCCCCAGCAAAATGCAGTGTGCACTCAAAAGAAAATGTGTGTATGAGAGCTTGCAAGAGATCTGGTGCGGAAAGGACGAGCCTAGAGGAGACTTGCCTGGCAGGTCACTGTTCGACTCATGGAGCCACGTAGCAGGAGGTAGAGGCTTCTCCCTCCTGGCTGCCCACAGCTTCAGTGGGAACAGCTTACCAGAACTGGACTCTCAAATCCAGCCGATTGCAAAAACCTATATTAGAAAATTCGCAAACAATAACTCACTTCCCCACCAATCCACACTTAACATTTACCCTCATCGTTATTGTGTAAGTAAGTTAGCCCCTCCTTAGAGAGATCAGGAGGGTGATATATGTCTCCATCTTTCAAAGCATCAGTAGCTTTGGCATCTACCTGAAACCAGCAGTGGCTGATAGCAAGTTCTGTTTATATCATTATTGCTCATAAGAAATGGACAAATTGGCAATCTAGCATTTCATAAAAAGTAGGAGAAATATTGATGTGGTTATTTGGGAAGAGAAGAGGTGGGAACATAAGAATCGTTAAAAAAAAAATCATAAAGTAAAGCCTTCTGTACTGCCTGATTTTAATCACTGTCAATTTCTTTCACAGATATTTCTTGGTGCATTGTCTTTTGTTTATTTTGCTAAAGCACTATCAGGAAGTTATCTAAAAAGTACTATCACACAAATAGAAAGAAGATTTGATATCCCTTCCTCTTTGGTTGGCGTTATTGATGGCAGTTTTGAAATTGGTATGTACTGTAGAAACTCATTTTTGTTTTCAGAAAAAAACAATGATTCAATTTGTTGTGAAAAATGATTGTTTGAATCTTCTCGACTCATTAAAACTGAGCAAGATTCACTTAGTAAAAATCAGCATGACTGTCTGTATGATTATGTTGGATAGGATAGGGTTGTTAATACAAGCAATTCAACATAGTCCTAAATATTTTGTAATTCGATAAGCATAGTGTCTGGCTAATTAATACTAATAGAAATTTTGACTGTTGAATGAGAATTTACCTGCACAGATTTCTACTTTCTCTCTCTTTTTCGCAGTAATCCACCTTCCCCACAAGCATTTGCCCTTTGTGATTTATTCAGCAGCAAGAGTACAAACCTCTAACTGTAATCTACCTTCATTGTCCAGTCCATCGCCTTCCCTCTTGCACTAAGGTTTCTGGCATGACATTGTCTTGTACAATTTCAGATCACTCAATTTATCTCATGGGTGTTCAGTGGACTATGATAGTCATATTCAATGAAATCTTAGCCTAAGTATACAAAGCTCTGGTTTATTCCCTCTTTTCCTGTTTTCCTGGTTATTTGTTCTCTTCAGCTGGCACAGTCCTCTTCTTTTCCAGCTGCTTATCCAAAAGTTTATGGTTTTCTTATGACGGAAGGCATTGGGCTCCTGTAAGAATGCTTGGAAAGAGGGAGAAACACCAACCCCACACGCTCAGCTCTCTCCCCCGAAATCACTGCCTATACCACACACTAGGAATCGTTATTTTAGGGCACCTCTTATCACTAAGCCATAAAACTCAGTTTTCCTTTTGTACTCTCAAAGGGAACCTCCTAGTCATAATTCTTGTAAGCTACTTTGGAGCAAAGCTTCACAGGCCAAGAATAATCGGAGCAGGCTGCTTAATTATGTCAGCTGGAACATTCCTAATTGCGATGCCCCAGTTCTTCATGGGACGGTAAGTGCAAAGTGATCGGTATTTTCCAACTGAAAACTGAATGTTAGCTCACTAAAATATTTAGGCATTGATTGTGAAGAGACCCATAGAAATAGATATATGTGGATGTGGTTACTCAATTTAATATTTGTTATGAAAAGACATTACAACAGAGTAAATAATTTAACACATATGCTATTCTTGATTTATCATTTTATTAGTCTGTGGTCTTGATTGGCTACATTTTGATACAGTTTAAGAATTGTTGAAGCTTCAGTGATGAAGTGATGACTGAACTCAAGAAGACAATCTGAGTATCAAACAAAAGCCAGAGGATACACTGACCATCTGATAATCTTTTAGTAGAGATTCACGTGTAATAGCAGAGCAAAGCGCCTGTTAAACTGAAATGCATCACTGTGACACAGAGAGAACCGAAGGGACAATTTTCATGTATTACCACTGTATAAACCAAGTTCCATTTATCGCCTGTAAGCCATCACGGGCAACACTGGATGCAGATGAACTTTGCATTTAAGTGCTATGGACCTATCTCCCATGGTAGTAACAGATCTGCTTGCTTTTTCTTGTAAGTTGGGACAGTAAAAACCAACTTTGATTTACAAACAGGTATCGGTATGAAAGATTCCCTTCCACCATCAATTCAACTGTTAGCATCTCTCCATGTCTGCAGGATAAAAGCCAAACTCCACTCTCAGCCTTGGAAAAATCTCAAGCAAAAATAAATGCAGGTGAGAACAATCTCTGTTAAATGTTGTGATAAGCACACTAAAATGCATCAAAAGGCTCCCAAACTGTCATGCAATAATTTATTAGAATGCAAAAAAAAAAAAAAAAAAAAGGCAATCAGACATATCTTTCCCACAGAAAAGCCAGATCTACTGGCTGAGGCAAATTTATTGAAAATAAATATATAATTGCCACTGACCACTGCCAAGATTTTTTCAGGCTGCAACATTTCCTCCAGCCTTGCCGTATCCTCCAGCAACTTTCTGCAGCTTTGTGGCTTGCAGAAACACCAGACAAGCTCCCATGGGAACCTTGGAAAGTCATGGTCCTCTTTCTACGGGGAAATGTTCTTTAGATCCTTGCCCCAGTGGAAATAGCTGCTTGGGTCTCCCAGCCTACAGACCCCTCTTCTTGTTTCTCACTGTTTTGCACATCACAAAGCTGTCTCCCCTCTGGGTGCATTGAGGTCCTTGTGGGCAAGGAGCCTTCCTCCCTGATGCCTGGCCATGAAGCTGTGGATGATCAAATCAAACCCCATCTGTCACAAAATATGTGTGTGTTTGCATCCTCATGCCTGTGGATTAGATGTGACTGGTAGTGCTCACTATCATCGATGTTTCCTAAATCCTTCCATCAGGAGATCCCAATTTTGGTTAGAAGGAAGTGAAAAAGTTTTCTGGAATGGGAAGCGGCAACAAATTTATAAAACTGGCCAACTAATATCTTTGGCTGAAGCAGTTCATGCTAAATGTGTGTCTACCTCAAGCTAACCGGGTTAAAATTGCCATCCCCACATCCCACGAAACATTATTCATAGTTTTCACACTGGTTTTCCCACATTAGAAGTATTTTAGAAGTCCTGTGCATTCAGTGGCAAAATGTTATGAAAAACACATCATTGTCTCTCTTGTGATGTGCCCAGGATGTGAGAAAGAAGCAGGCTCTTCCATGTGGATCTATGTTTTGCTGGGGAATCTTTTGCGTGGAATAGGTGAAACTCCTATCCAGCCTCTGGGAATTACATACATTGATGATTATGCCATTGAAGAGAATGCTGCCTTATACATTGGTAAAATAAATATTTTTTTTTTATCCTAATAAAAATATCCCCAGAAGAAACTGAGTCATTCTAAATAGTGGAATAAGTATTATTGACTTAACTTGCCCTGATTGTTTTGTTTGCATCATTCCAATATTAAAGTTTATTTAACAGTCATGTACACTCAAAGGACCAAGTTCCCCTTTAATTATACCAGCACAGTTCCATTATCTTAATTTGAGGAAAGAATTTGACCTTAGGTTCCTGCTGTTACCCTAATCTTCCTAATTCTTCTGGATGTGGACTGCTGAGCCTCTGTGCACATTCAGTTCTCTGGAAAGTGATAAAAAAACATGTACTTTTTTAAGCACTTAAAATAGAATTTCAGCAGGCACTCAAAACATTCCCTCCAGATTCAGGTAGAATTATAAACAATAGTGCTGAGGCTCTAAAAAGTTGGTATTACTGTTTTCTTGTTGTGTTCATTGTGTGAAGTCCTATTCACCTGAGATATTACCAAAAAAATCCTTCCCCATCAGCATCTCATCTCGACAAATTTCCAGCCTGGCAAAAGGCAAAAACTCAGATTCTGTCTGCAAAAGATTCAGTCTTCCCAGATTTGCAGATCAATTTTGAAAATTAAAAATATGTAGAAAGTTTGACTGAGGGTTTATTGAAACATGTTAATATGCGGTACCAAACCAAAGTGATCTTTCAGCCCATTCAGGGCCCACCCCAATTCAAAGTGATCCATGAACTTAAATAATTGACATTTACTTTCCCATTACTTTAAGCTAGTCAGCTAAAGAGTTTCTAGCAATTGTAGATTGGTGCTACTATTGAGTTTGGGCCATTAAGTTCCCTGACGTTCTTCTCCTTTGGCCTGAATTTAATTCTTTAATTGAATCATAACAAGAGGAAGTTGAAGTGTCAATCTAGTAGGGGAAATTTTATTGTCGGGTTTTTTTCTTCTTGAAAATGTTCTAACTTGTGTCACTGATGTGCCAGAGACCAAAGGTTGGCTCCGTATTTGAAGTCTGTATCACTTGTTACCCATCACGTGTCCTACTTTGTTCTTAGGTGCAGCAAGAACCAATGCTCTTTCTAACTCAGAAGCGTAACAATCCCATGTTTTCTATTGCAGGCTGCGTACAGACGGTTGCAATTATAGGGCCGATATTTGGCTTTCTTCTAGGATCCCTGTGTGCCAAACTTTATGTTGACATTGGCTTTGTAGATCTGGGTAAGTCAGAAAACTCAGGTTTTAAAAATTCAGTCAGGTTCCAATGTACCTATTTTAGGCCAAGAACTATGTGGTTAACTTCTAGGCATAAGGGGCTAGCGGGGGTAGAGCAGGCACTTTATGAAACAAAAAGGATGATAGCAATGCAGTGTCCTGTGCAGAAAAGTCTAGAAAGAAAGATGGGTATGGAGGAAGTAGGAGGCCTGACTCTTCCTCAGCCCCAGCAGATCGACGGCTGGTGCCCCCCAGGAGATAGCCGGGTGAGGAGGAGCTGGAGGGACAGCAGGCACCAGGAGGAGGCAGGGCTGAGGCTCAGGATCCTGCGGAGAGCTGTCTGCATGCGTTTTGTAGTACAGTGCCATTGCCTAGGAAAGCCGTCTTCCAACAGGTGCCGGGGCTCCTGACCGCATTCCTCCTGAGAAAACACCTTCCACCACGTTTTTCCCTGGCACTTTTTGTGCAGAACAGCCTGGCTCAAGCAAGTGCGTGGCCACCTGGACTACCCCATGTGCTGGGCCTTGCAGCCTCTCTGGGGACCCTCAAGTGGCACGGCTGGGGACCCCATGGTGTCAGGGGAAGGCTGCTGCTGTGTCACGGGAGTCAGCAAGTCGTTATCGCCACCCCAAAATTGCTCCTGTAACACTGAGAGAGACACACGGCACAGCTAAACCTGGCGGGGGGGGAGCGTGGACACCTTTGGAGAAAGTTCCTGCAAATTTATTTTCATTTATTTGTTTGGCTTTTTTTGTTTTGTTGGTTTTTTTTTTTTAAACTTTCTCCAGACAGTATAACAATAACTCACAAGGACGTGCAGTGGGTTGGAGCCTGGTGGCTGGGTTACTTAATAGCGGGTGTGATTAGTGTTCTGGCTGGCATCCCCTTCTGGTTCCTGCCAAAGCACCTGCCAAAACCAGAGAGCAGAAAGGACTCCAGTACCTCTTCTGAGCAGTCAAAGTTCATCACTGAGGATAACAAGGAGCAATACAAATCTTATCAACAGCAAGTGAAGATTGCTGAGATGGCAAAAGGCAAGTCACTAGAGTTATTCTCCTGACTGTTGAGTCTCTCTCTTACTAGCTTTTATACTTTATACCTTCTTTATAGCATCTTTAAATGGCCTCAGAATTACTTTTTTCCCTCAGGTGTCACTCTCCACCTAACTAGCAAGCCCAAAAAGGATCTTGTCATCGTTCCCTGGACCTGCTCTCGCATGCAGAAATTTTCCAGCTGAGATTTGTACATTTATACTAGTGGCCCAGCAAATATCATGAAACTCTGCAAAAAATTTTCATTCACAGATGTTGACTGTGTTGCAGAAGTGGGGATCAAAAATATGACAATCTCAGTTTCCGCTAGACCTTTTTCTTTAAGGTCATTCATTAGAAAAAACCATACAATACGTAATCAGAATAAGGATGGGCACAGATGATACAGTATTTTAGGGGCTGTCCAGATTTAGACACGAGCTGTTTTGCATAATTACATTTCTTTCGCCCTACTTTGCCAAAAGCATTTTCCCTCAGTGCTTGAATCTGTAACTCACTATGTCTGTGCTTACTGTCAGCTGTGCTCAGCTCCCTCTGCCCCCAAATTAAACTAAAATGTTCTGTGGCTGTTGAGGACACATAGAAATCAAATCAGTCCTGTTTTATGATTGAAAGAAGATATCTAAAATAAGATGGCTCTTCTGGAATATCGATGCTTAGTATTTTGCTCTACCGTTCCCGCATCCAGAAATGAGGGAGCTCTTAGGATCATCATGGGACTTCATGGATTCCTTCTGAAATGTTCTGCAGTCCTTCTTCGGAACATGCAAACGTGTTGCAAAGCATTATTCACAGCAGTTATTCTCTCTCTGGCCTGATCGTCGTATCTGCTATTTTGTCTTGCAGACTTCTTGCCATCACTGAAGAACCTCTTTGGGAATCCAGTTTACATTCTGTATTTGTGTGCAAGTATCATTCAGTTCAATTCTTTAATTGGCATGGTGACATATAAGCCAAAGTACATTGAACAACAGTATGGGCAAACATCTTCAAAAACTAATTTCGTTATAGGTAATGCTATATCTGTTTCTTGATATCTTTAAAATGGACATTTTAAGAATGGCATATACATACACATAGGGAAAAATGGATTTTTTTTAGCATATGTTTGTTTCTTCTCTTTTCCTTTTCTGGCTTTAAGTAGTAGCTCACAGAAGGTAAGTTATTTCATTTCTGCTTTAGCACGAGTTAGCTCTGAGTTTATCTATGCCAGAATTACTGCAAAAGATTACATTCTTTGATAATTTATTTCCCATTTTACTGGAAATTTGAAAAATAATGTATGTGCAGCACAAGAGAATAATTGAAAAGAGAATTAATTTTAAAATACTTTACATAAATTTGTCATCAGACAGATCTGTTCCCTTGCTGGCTTCCCATTTATTTCAACGAAATGAAGATCAGCTCAGTGAGTGCTAAAGAACTGACCATAACATAGCTGTGATATTGCCAGTGATTTCTTACTTTCTGAAGAGGCTGGTGTTAAATAAAAGGAAGTCAATGTCATAACAGTGACCACACAACACACGTGTTAAAAACCTAATATTATCTCAGTGCAAGGCTGGTGAAGGAAAAATAGGTATTTCTGTCCTAACTTTACCTAGGAGCCTTTCTCTGTTGTGATGTTTGTCTCCCAAGCCCTCCCGTCCAGCATGAGAGACGCTGCCTCTGCCTTTGGGTACCAGAGTGGCCATTTTTGGAGATGTCTTCAGGATGGAGATTTCACCGCCCAGTTGCTGAACCTGCACGCAGGCTTGGGCTCAGTTCCTGAGGTCCAGGGATTCAATAGCATTAGACAGCAAAGAGGTTTACATCTATCCAATACAGAGGGAACTGCCTTGTTTCACAGCAGCATTAGTTGCACAGCAACGGAAGTATATATATGCAGAAAAGCTGTATTGATCCATTGTGCTATGTTAATTCCTTAAAGATAGAAGCTGGAATTTCCTGGCACGAAACTCCTCAAAGCAAGGAGAAATCTTCAAGCATAGTCAATAGCCAGTGAAAGTCCAGAAAACAATCCCTACATTCAGTACAGTACTTCTCATTGTATTTAAAGATTTTCTGGAGTTAAGCTTTCAGGTATGTGCAAACTGAGTGAGGATTAAGATCCATCTGATTTCACAAAGCATAGGGACTATATCCAACAGAGAATGTGCAATGGCTTGGCTGGGGAAGGATCCTGGCTGAGTGGCCGTCCCTGCAATAAGGTGGTTTTCCTTTCTCTCTCAATCCACCCTTGCTAAGAAAGCTGAGGGCTGACTAGAACTAAAAGGGTCTATTTCCCTTTCTCTACCTCTTTTCCTATTTCTTCTTCTTTTTTTTTTTTTAAAACAATTTGTATCACCATCTTTCTGAGAGATACCAAAATTCCCAGAGCAATTTGAAGCACTATTTAAAAAAAAAAAAAAATCAGCTGGAAGTCATAAGAGGGTATTTCTCAGTAGTCACAACCCAAGGAATGTGCAAGAAAGTAAAATGACTCCTGCTGTGTTTGTATGATTTTCCTTAAATATACACACTTTGCTTCCCCCCCACCTCATGATGCCAGTGTCAAGCAATGGAGTTATCCATAAGGCTACAAGACAAAGGCATGAACAAAAGGGGGGCGTAGGAATGGGCAGGCAGAGTGCAGGTGCATCACACAGCTCCCAGTCCCAATCCCAGCCCCCTCGTCCAAGCAAAAGAGACCAGGAAAACCAGAAAAAACTGTTCATGTGTGACATTTTGCATGCTGCTTCTAAATCCCCTGAAGTACAAATTTCGTGTATGTGCAGAGTGAAAAATGCAACCCCCGTGAAGCTTCCTGAACCTCGTCAGTAACTGACCTGGGCTCATGTACTCTGCCAAGATACTGACTCCTGAGTTTGCTAGATAGACTAAGGATCTTTCCCAACACCAAACGTACCTACTAGCATCTCTTCTGAGCACTGATTTTTTTCCACGTGTACAGGTGGATCAAACGCTGACTCGAGCCAGAAATGTAAAGGTTCCAGTGCACATTCTAGCAGGCAGATTAGACTCTAACAATGTAAACTGGTGTTTTACACCAAATCATTTGAAATCATATTATAATACCCCCAGTCCCCTGAAAAAATTTCTGAAACTTTATCTGCTATATAAATGCATGTATGCTTTGGTACTTGCTTGTGTTTTGTAGGCTCGCTCAGCTCAGCACTGCTAAGTGTGTCAGCATGAAATAAAAGCTGCAAAGCGCATGTGCAGCCTTGTGCGAGGGGGGAATTCAATGTGCTGCAACTGGCTGGTAAAGCTGGGAAATAATTTTCAGTAACAATGAAATCCAGCATAGGGCACCCTGCTTGACTGTGTAGTATCATTTATGTCAGTCTTCATTTTCATCTTTTTTTGCATGTACTGATTGGAATGTTTTGGGGTCTTGTTGTCCATGTCTGTCAATATGGACACTGCTTTGAGCAAAGCTGTCCAGGTAAGGATTAATGGTCACCCAATGTTACGTTTCCTTCAGTGCTCTTCCACTTGATTGCCTGAAGGCTGATACGAGAGAGCCCATGGGGTATCCCTGTCTTTCTGCTGTTCCAACACTCACCTAAGGGAGCGTTTCAATAACCAAAACCAGAGAAATTCCCCCACTTTCCCAGGCACGCAGGCGATGACATACCACTGGCTTTCTCCCTCTCGGAGACTTCTCTGGGGCGTTACCACTTTCATGGCCGAATCAAAACAGAAAAAAAGCAGGTCTTGCTCTGGATTTCATAACACCATAGGCAAAACTGAACTTGCCCTCTAGGAACGAGCAGTTCAGGCTCCTCCTGTCAGTGGGAAAGGGAAGGACAGGAGCTGCCCTGGAAAGCCAGAGCAGGGCAGCTCCAGAGAGTGGCCCCTGTTGCTCCTACTGTTGCTATAAGGGTGAAGGACACAGGGAAGGTCTATAGCAAAGCCCCAAACTGTGCAGTGGGACGGTGGCTGCCTTGGCTGCCCTAAGCAGCACGATACCCCAGGCAACTTCTCTGTGCCCAGAGCAGCTCTTGTGAGAAACAGCACTAAAAGTATTTGAATTAATGCTACAATGATCCCTCCGCTGACAAGCTAACAGTGGAGAAAACCACCTACCTTAAGAAATTGGAACATCATTGTCTAAACCTTATGCATAATCTGTCTGTCAAAGAACTAGCAAAGAAACATTTCCCTGGGAGCAAGTTTTTAAAAGCAGTCCCAGCGACTTCGTAGGAACAATCCAAGTCTGGACAAATAAAACACCACGACTGACGATTTTTCATGTTTTATTGCTTCATCTTATTGCTGCTGCTGTTTTTGTGGCTGAGGAGGATAGTCCATTGAACTGAGGTTTTCATTAATACAGATTCTTCTGTTTGATTGCAGGTCTTATCAACATTC